CTTACGGTCCCAGACGTGGTGTCGACAGTCTTCCTGAGCGACAGAAAACGCTTTTCACTAAATATTACTTTAAATGCAATTGTTTTGGTTGTCTGGAGGACGCGAAAGCCGTGTCAGCCCTACAGTGCCTGAGATGTAATGACGGACCCGTTTTATGCCATGATATTAACGATGATATTAATTGGTGTCTCAATTGCGGCCAAAGTTACGATAAACTGGAGGAAGCGATGACTGAAATGGAAAATATTTCGGTAAAAATTGACGAATTGTTGGCTGAACTCGAAAACGACACTTCCTTTGCAAAAGAGTCGTCTCTCCAGACGGCCATCGACTCAATCGATTCGCTCTCGACATTGATTTACGCCAAAAGCAAAACTCTGTTTCTATACAAAAAGCGTTTGTCTGAACTCTGCTTCCACTACAAGAGATTCAAAGAGGCGATGATATACAGCCACCAATTGATCCGCACGTTTGACGACAAACACTACAGAGAGTGTTGTCTGGAGACGTCATTCTTCGGTCGCGCGTATTATGAGTGCCTTTTGGATACAAAGTGTGTGGATAGGAGTGAATGGAGGGTTTGTCTCGAGATTAACCAAAGGGTTTGCAATCTATTGAAAGTGTTTGGGTCTCAAAGTCTAAGTGAAAAGTTAGAGCCGTGTGAAGAACCCTTCACTCAGGCGTTCACTTCAATCCATACATTGATAACAATGAAGGAATCCGTTGTTAATCGTATGAAACAAATTTTGTTATTCTTGTCCTCATGTGATCATTGATTAGACAACTATTTCCATAATTTTTCTTATTTTATTGCAATTATATAATAATATTGTCGTTTGATTATTATTTTTAGCACATTTTAAATATAAATGTCATGTAAATAAAAATTTCAATTTTAAGATTATTGCTATGAAATCAATTTGATATTTAATAAAATTCATTATAAAAGTGATTTAATATGTGATTAGTTAATAATATGTGATAAATAAGTTGTTTTTATATATGATATAATTAATGAGCAATTAATTTCAACATAAGTCTCGTCTATCAAATGATATCTCTTGACAAACAATTATTTACATATATTAAACATTGAGGACAAAAGTCTCTTAAGTTATATTTCAAGTGCATATTCGCTAGAAATGCACTTTTAATTGTCTAATCTTCTCTTATGGTAATTGTCACCAAAAACATTAATCCAAAGCCTATGAATATAGCGAGGAATTGTACAATAGGTTTGAGTTTAGTCGCCCTCTCTTTCTGTAAGATCTCGAAGAATACGATATACAGTATAGTTCCCGAAGCCATTGCGCTCAAGAATATGGTAAACGGATTATCTTCTCCGTTAATATCGTATGAATTTTCGGTTAATATAACTGTTATTATACCGATTGGTGACATGATTGAGAAGAGTATCATTTGAAACACAACTAATAAAAAGTTATGACACTTTTCGTAGATCTCAATCCCTAATATCAACGAAATCATAAACTTGTGGGAAGCGATCGCTATAAACATTGTCCAGATCTCTGGACGTGTAGTCTTCACACCGATTGAGATGCCATCAAATATAGAGTGTATAGAAAAGGCTGATATAATCACTAATCCGTGAACGAGTCGTATGTATAGGGGCTCTAATTTGACCACATTATGCATATGTGTCGATATATCGCATTTGGCTATGAATTAATAAATTGCATTAAATGTCATATTTACTATTGTTAGTACTATTAATAAATAAGAAAACTTACATTTATGACATCTAATAGCGATGAGCACCGGTTGGTCTTCATCTCTGACAGTGGGTGCGGAACTGTTGGGTTCGGACTCAATGCTACTTATTTGGGATTTCTTATCAAAATCGTAGACCTCTTCCTTAAGATTGCTATCGTTGTCGTGAATGTCTAGCAATGAATGCATCAACACTTCGGCCAAATATACGGCAAAAAAACCCAAACAAATGGATAACTCGAGGAATGGCAGCTTAAGCGGTTCTATGGCTTTCACAAACTCGCTCTTATTATCACAATTAATAAACGACTGATTGCTGGCCATATAATTATCAAAGTTTTCTCTGATTTCTGGTATCATATGAGCGATGACTGTGAAGAACAATATTCCTCCGCCTATTTGTGTCATGAGTTGTACGTAAAAATTAGACGAAAGTACTGTCCGGTGGCTCTCGTTTGTGGTGATGACCACCGATCGGGTGCTCCGCCGGCGGTTCCACCACTGGAACACATATACGGGAACCGTTCCCACAATTAATGTTATCAAAAATAACACACCGGAGGCTAACAGTCGCTCAGTTGTCAAACCCATTGCTAATGTAATATGTATTTATAAAATAACACAAAATGTTTTCTTATTTTTCTTGGGTTAAGAAAAATATGAATGTCTTTATAATTTGTTTCAAATGTAAACTAATTTTGTTTTTGCAAAATGATGTGTGAATTCCTACGAAATTATATAAATATACACAAGAATTATAAGATAAGGAATCTGTTAATTGATTTTTCATTGACGACATTACCATTTAATTAAGTGACAATTTTTGTGTGGCTTTTAATGACATTTCAGTGTTTAAGGGAAACAGTAAGCGATCTGTTGAAGGGAGAGAAGTCATAAGAAATGATAAAACAGTGATTAGATATTGCTATTAGAAGAATGAATGATCAATGATGTGGTGGTTATAGTGGAGTGCAAACTAATTATAGGGAAAACCAATTGAAAAGTGCTAGTTTTGCACACAGTTTTAACATGTTTAAGACAATTACCGAATCATGTTGGAATGACTGTCCAAAAAAACACTTGAGATAATAAGTTTAGCACATTTCACACCGCACCTAATTTTCTTCATATTATTATCAAGATATTAAAAGTCAATTACCAGGATGTTTTATTAGCGTTTACTTATAATATAATCCTTAGGATAATTGTAATTACAGTAGTA